AACAGACCCTGATTTGTTATATTGGAAGAAGGATGTTCTTCAACAGACACTGATCTGTTATATTGGAAGAGGGACATTTCTTCAACAAACAGACCCTGATTTGTTATATTGGAAGAAGGACGTTTCTTCAACAGACCCTGATCTGTTATATATTGGATGGTTTGGGGCTGTCCGTCCGTAGACAATTGGTTTCTCTCTTTTTAATTTTAAAGGATCTCAATACTTGTGTTTATACTTGGCATGTAAGTTTGTATATCAAAACACAGGTCAAGTTCGATTTTGCTGCAAATCAACTTATTATTGATAGAGTTATGCATTTTTTAAACAAATTGTCTGTGAAAATATTCTGTGAAATAACGAGTATTGACTCTTGAAGGATTTCAATGAATGTGTTTATACGTTTATACGTATAATATGTTTATATTAAAACACAAGTTAGGTTTGATAGTTGTTGCAGTCAATATATAATAAAAAGATTTATGGCCCCTTTAAAGTAAATTTTCAGCAAAATTATTCCGGAGTAATAGCTTTTGAAGCATTACAAAGATTGTTTAATATTTGGAATTCGTGTATGTAACGTCAAAACAGTAACACATGTCAAGTTTGATTTTCTCTGCAATTGAATTATAATTGATAAAAATCTGGAAACAAAGTGATTCCTCGCAAGCATTTATCACAACAAAATTACACGAAAGTTGCAGACTCGGTTTGATTGAGTCTGTACATGAGGGATAATGAATAATAATCCCTCACATCCCCTTGTACCGGTTTGAGAGGTACTCAATTCTCAACACTTAATAGTGCTGGCAACAATTATCCAGAAGGACCACACAGCACTTGACACCTCCCGCGGCAGCCATTTTGGAGGTCATAAATTAGTATATGTAACTAACATAAATTAAGTCAGAGAATTTGGGTAATTGTCAAATATTTAAACATGTGGTTTAGAAAAATGTTATCACACCACCCATATCAATGTGGTTTTTATCAGCTTATATGAAGTTGATAAATAACGAATGATTGTTGTCTTATCTTAAGCATACAATAGTTTTAGAATTTGACAATTAGAATGGCGACCACAGATGTTTTTCATGATAAACTTACACTACATATCATAGCAAATTACTTATTGCTTGTTGTACATTTTTGACTTTGTAGCGTGGATAAGACCCGTTTTGTATTTACGCTAAATTATGTGCATGTCCATATGTTTGATGAAAAGGATCAATAAATAACGATAATTATTGTCCAAATACATTACATAAAACTGGCGCAAATAACCTAAGTATTAAAACTTTTTTTCATCTTGTCAAGAACTAGAAAAAAACTAAAATTTCCACGCAACTTACTGTTTCTTGGACCCAACTGAAAGCTAGTCGGCCATATATAACAGTTATTCTCAACATAAAATAGTTTTGATATCCGGTATGTTGTCTGTAAAATGCAGCACGTGTTCTTACTTCACCTCGTAGTAACATGTTTTCTCGTCTTGGGATCACAATTATAATAGCCAATCTCTTGAAATATATTACAAGTTGGACAAAAGAGTATATCCTACAGGCAGAATGCAACCACGGACTTTGGTGCAACATAAGAAGCTAAGGTTTCTTACGCAAGGAAGTTGTGGTAATTTTTCCTTTCATATGTAGTAATCAGGATTATATGAATCCGCTTTCTATTCAAGTTTCTAAATGATTGTTTACGATGATATAAACATGTATAATGTATTCGTTTTATCAATCTTTTTGTAGGTTTCTGTTATTTTTGTCTGTCAAGTCACACTGACAAACAAGTAAGAATATGAATTTTATTAAGCATTAAACAAAAATATGTATATTGTTTATAAACAAACGCTCATTGTACCATGGAACAGTTGCCTTTCTTATATCAACAGTACACAGTACAGAGCGTAATGTACGAAACTGAACGCTGATAAAGCAAAATGCTAATGACAAAGGCCACAAACTTTCGTTTGAAGCAGTGCGTTTATTATTAGTTTATTCACAAAGTTACTTAAATATAGTTTCTCTATTCATTTTTACAACAACCATTCATACTAAAAAGCATCGAAGACAACTGTGGTACCATTAACCATTACATGTTTTCCGTCCGACAGACTGAATAGTTCTATATTTTATATTATGTTATCATTCACACTAAGAATTACTCTCAGAAATGAGTTTGATAGTTAACCTATGAAAATACAAGACTTAAATTAAATCAACCAATGAAAATTTCTGTATTTCAATAATTTAGCAAAAATAGTAAAAGTTATACACAGCATAACAGTAGGCTTATGGTTAAAACGTCTTATGACATTGTACCAACAACTTGTTGGATTTATAATGTTTTGAGTGATGATTCATGAATCACTTTTTGTTTTTTTTTATAAAATCATACACTTACTAAAAATAATGTATGGTCCATTACTAAAAAAAGATGCTGGAATTCCCAAAACTTGAAGTCCCACGAGATTTCATTTGAAAGCAGACTCCATATTGGTAACCATTCTCTACATATGTCCCTAAAAGATAGTTGGGTACACAATGTCATTGAAGTTTCATTTAAAAACAAAACATGAATTGATTCAAAATTGATTTGTTTATCAAATGGTATTTTTATTTGACCCAAATTTGATTAATAAGGGTGATTTTTATAAGTTTTTATGTACGGCGAACGAACTGCCAAATTCTGGTAACCTTTGCAAATAGGGTTGACCCATAACTTTACTGTTGCAACGTCAAAATAAAAGCGACATATAAAGTTATGGAAGCCAGAACTACCTTATAATAGGCAATTTCTTGAAATATATTACTAGTTGGGCAAAAGGGTAAATCCTACAGCCAGAGTGCAACCACGGACTTTGGTGCAACCTAAGAGGCTGAGATTCCTTACGCAAGAAAGTGCTGGTAATTTTTCCTTTCAAATGTAGTCAACAGGATTATATGAAATCGCTTTCTAGTCAAGTTTTTAAATGTTTATATCAATCTACTTGGTAGGATTTGCTATTTTTGTTCTGTCAAGTCATACTGACAAACTAGTAAGAATATGAATTTTATTAAGCATTAAACAAAATATATTGTTTATAAACAAACGCTTATTGAACCATAAAACGGTTGCTATGTCCTAATTCCGTTATATCAACAGTAGCAAAATGCTAATTACAGAGGTCATAAACTTTCGTTCGATTATAAGTTTATTCACAAAGTAATTTTTTCTGTTTAAATATAGTTTCAATATTCATATTTACAATAACCATTTAATTATTAAATTTACCAATGGAATTTTCTGTATTTCAATAATTTAGCAAAAATAAAGAAATAAAAATACTTTTACGAAAAGTATTAAGAAGGAAGCAAATTGATAAAAATACAGCATAACAGCCAGGTTAACCAGTAGGATACGTAATGGTTAAATATGTCAGCGTATAAATACATGTAGATCTATTATCATTCATTCAAACTGGTAAATTATAAACGTATATATGACTTTGAACATTGTAACAATCAAAAATCAATATCTTATAAAAGGTTACTATGAAAAGCTCTATGAATATATTTATGAACAGATTCAATCAAAACGAGTCTGTGAGATTTACTATTTAAAGCAGTTGCATTGCTATTCTTCACAAAAAGTCTTCTATTCTTAAATAATTGAAATATTCATTAATGTATATATATAGAAATGTACACCATGAGTTTGTTTATTAAAGACATTTTCTACAGTTTTATGAAATTTAATCCTTTCATAGAATTTTCTAGATTTTTTGTATGATCAGTAAAATTTAATGGGGAATTCAAAAATAAAAAGAAAAATATATGTTGACGTGAAAATGGCAGTTCCCATGGTAACCATATATCTCAAAACTGTCAAAATAGCCTAACTGTGTTATAACAAATAGAAAGGTGTAAGATAGCTTAATACACACAACAAGCATTGTTTTATGCACAGATAACATTATCCAATGATTCGGTACGAAACAAAATGATAATCTGAACATATTTCTTTAAAAAATGAGTTTTCCATGCTTCTTAACTGAACGAAAAATGAGAAAAATAAACATAAATTCTGTGAATAATTAAAGATATTGAAAAATTTCTTTCATAGGATTTTCTAATTTTTTTGTATGTTGTTTAAAATTTAATGACAAATTCAAAAATAAAATGAAAAATATATGTTGACGTGTTAGATTTTTTGAAAAATGGCAGTTTTCATGGTAACCGTATATCTCAAAACTGTCAAAATAGCCAAACTGTGTTATAAAAATGTATAAGACAGCTCATTACACACACAATAAGCATAATTTTATACAAAACTTGCTTTATCTAAGTGTTCGTTATAAAACAAACGATAATCTGAACATATTTCTTTAAAAAATAAGTTTTTCATGCTACTTTAAGGGACTCCACCGAGGTTTAAAAGCATTAGAGTTTCTCACATAAATGAACTGGGGCGCTTTAAACAGAAATATATGCAAAGATAGTTAAGAAATATACTTTAAAATAAATCGAAAATCGTAGTTTCATGGATTTCTTAGCCTAATTTGCGTGAAAAGCATTTAAACGCTTTTCATTTTGCGTCATTTTTTACAATTTGAATAGTTATTATGGAAAAACGAAGTGCGCGAATGATCTGAAAGTTTGCACAAAGATTCGTGGTCTACACCTACATCAAATGGTACATTTATCGGGAAAAAAATAAAGTCATGTCAAAAAACCTCAGTGGAGTCCCTTTAAATGAACAAAAAATGAGAAAAATAAACATGAATTCTGTAAATCATTAAAGCATTTAAAATAATTCTTTGATAGAATTTTCTACATTTTTGATATATCAAGTAAAATTTTATGGTGGACTCAAAAATAGAAATAAAAATACATAATGACGTGTTATTTTTTTTGTAAACGGACAGTTTCCATGGTTACCGCAACTGTCAAAATTACCACGCTTTTTAAAGAAATATCAATGTTATACTAAATGCATTGTCATATATACAATAAAAACACGTTGCAATATAAATTTATTTTTCTTTTGATGTTATATGAAGTAAATTATACTGAATATGTTTTTAAAACAAATTATATAAGGCCATATTATTTCTTCACTCGACTAACATACCCGAACAGTAAGCAAGTATTCAGAAATTTACAAAGAAAATAATGAAAATTGGAACATTTCTTTGATATTATTTTTGTTATTTATTCAACAGTTTTAAAACATTTCGTTTTAAACTACTTTGCCCACTTGTCTGCCAGTAATCAAGTGGCGACGCACTTTCGTCATATACCACAAGTGGGAGGGGTAACGCTCGCAGAATCATCAACAATGCTGTCGTACTAATGCTAGTCTGATGTTGTCTAAACGACCTCTTATTCTTTTGAACCGATCTCCCGAACATTTAGAAATATTTATTTTGTATTATTTACTCATTATTTGCTTATAGCCGAAATTTAAACAGTTATCCGAGTACTATTCAACTTGACCTTCTTTTTGAAGAGTACCGGTAATTATCCGTGATTATCTTTCTTGGAAACGCATAACGATGCGCACAAAAAAACTACCGAAAACGTCTTTAAATAGTTAGCGCCCATATCATCTGATGAGTTATTTAAAATTTATTGAATTTTCTTTCTTTCTATCTTAATCTTTCTTTCTTTTTCATTTTATGTTTTAGAACTTGGGGTTTTTGGCTTAGAAATATTGGTTTTCAATTGAAATACCATCTTCGGAGCCTCATAATACAAATTCGAGCCAATGGTTAGCGTTGACATCAGTTGGGGTAATGATGGCTGTTGTACGAAGGTTGCCTGTGCGTAGTATGATGCCGAAGTGTTTACTTCATCTGCACTTGTGACAAATTTTGGAATTTTTTCTACAAATAGAACCTCTTCAGACGACTTTGCCCAACTTCTGTGAGTGTTACCTTTAATAAAGTGTTCTCTGACTTCTTTATCACACAGATTTATGCACTTCTTCTCGTATTGTGTTCCAGCAAGTACTTGAATATATATTTCTACAATTCTCAAAGGGTCAACTCTAGCTACTTTTGTTTTCATATCATAGTAGGCCCAGAGTGTGGCTACATTTAAACTTAAAGTAGTTGAAATAAACTTTGATTTATATTTTGATCCCGATGCAATATGTTGTTCAACAGTTCTGTTTGAATCTTTATCTTGACAAAATATTCCGTTTATAATAGATTCTTCCTCTCTTAAAACTCGGTAAAGATGTAAATTATTGTAATCTAATCCCTTAAAACCATAAAAGTCTTCATCATTTGTTTCTCCTTTACTTTCACCCGAACTTGATGTTGTTTCAGAATCAGATGACCAATCTGGAAATCTTGAAATATCATCCAGCCACTCTTGACTGCCTTCATAATTTTGTTTGTATGCCATCCTGAAAATAGAGTTAGAAGCAGTATTACATGGCAATTTTTAACAGATATTATAAATGCTTAGTTACATGATGGTGGTATGGCCGAGTGGTAAACGCGTCTGATTAGTAATATATGGATTTCTAGCCGCGTGGGTTTAAACTCTGTCAAATGAAAGCCGTTGTTTCTTTAAGCAATGAACTCATTGTTCCGTGTAAGTTGGTTCCGCGAACGGATTCGAGTTTGTGTCTATAACATTACATCTTTCTACACAATCGAACTTAAATAATTTCTGCATAAACTAAGCTTTGTTTCATTATTATTTACTATGACAGATAACAGAGCAGCGACGCCATCAATGACCTTGACACGATTAAATATAACAAAGACGGTGATACCAAAATTATTTTCATTTAACATTCACATGGGTCATATACACAAGAATGTATCTGAAAAGAAAAACAAGAATACTAGCTAGCATAAAGAACAATATTTCAAATCTTCTTTTAACAGGTTAATTAAAATAACTCACACTGTATATATAAGTTCCTCTTCAAAACAAATGTGCAAGTTAATACTCCGGTTAAGCCTAAATAACTTTATAAAATACAGCGCATAGTTATGAGACATTCAACTCAAGTTTCAAAATACTTCCTGCTATCTAATGGTTGGTTATTCATAATTCCCAACTATTTAGGTGGTAGGCGGTAATTCAATCCACTATCACCAGCATGAATGTTTAAACACATCATACATTTTAAACAAGAATAAAGATGGGGACCTAGTTGTTTATTCGCGCGAATCCCCAACTACCTACCAGAAGTTCAAATTACGAACTACCTTCTGGTAGGTAGTTGGGGATACACACGAATAGAAAAGAGTCCCTTGGTTGACATAGGAAGACGGGATGATACTATCTAGTAGAATTCACCTATCTTGTCATATATCAGTTACTTACCCCAATCATCATCAAGATAATAATAATTGTCTAATAATCTATATCATCAAAGTAATTACTATCATCAGATTATTTTTATCTTAGTTTCAGGATCACATCGAAAAACATCAGGAAAATATGTTTTACTTCTATTTTATGCCCCCTTTTCAAAGAAGAGGGGGCATATTGTTTTGCTAATGTCAGTCGGTCGGTCAATCTGTCTGTCCGTCGGTAGACCACATGGTTTCCGCTCATTATCTTGAAAGCTTTTATCACAAAGTCTTCATTTTTCACATACTAATTGGTCATAACTAGTAAATGACCTTCGTAGAGTGCAAGATTAGATAAAATCCTCAAAGCAGTGCGGTGGTGGTTTGACATCTAGGTTCTGCCTTCTATGTACAAACACAGCGCTCGGATCTTAACCAATTTACATGTTTTTGTTGAAACAAAGTTCTGCCGATTCACGGGTGCCTCTTCATGACGTATACGTACCGATGAATAAGAGAATCTTGTCTGAAACACCATCACCTGTAGCAAAAATATTGACCTGTCTCTAGTTTAAACATATTTTTAAGCTCGATTGCGAAGCAAGTTCTTGCAACTGATGTTAATCATTTTCGAGTCCTTTTCCTGGAACCAGCCAGTACTGGTGTCATATGAAGAAACATAGTCGCGACCCGATGACCCGATTTGGGCTTCACCCCTTGATTCATGGGTTGAGAGGCAGACACCTTAATCACTGTGTTCTAATACCTGGCTCTATCCTAGTGGCAAAAGGGAATTTCATTGTCCGTACAGCAAAGTATGGGTTTAGGCCCAAATCTGTATGCAGAAAGGCATAATTATAATTTGCAAGGATCTGTTGTTTTGGAACTTTTAAATTTCTCTTTCATTTACTCAGAAATGCGATGCATGATATGTTGGATTCTTTTGTTCCCCGTTACCGCCAGTAGCTTCAAATTAATCATTTGAATCATCAGTCTAGGACATACGGACTATGTAAATGCATGTGCCTAGATATGGATTCTAACCGGCAAACCCGAGATCGCATGAACTCATGCTCTAAATATTTAGCTTAGCGAGTAAATTATATGTTTCTCTGGTAATCTTCCGTAAGCGATTTTCATTGTCTGTGGTATAAAACTTTTTAACTTTTACTAGTGTTTTACCAATACTGTTATGTAATGTATTTCTAGTTGCGCAGGTACCAAGATAATCTGTATTTAAATTAACCCCCTTACCAAGGGATAATCATTACTAAAACATTTACTTACATGCAGTAAACGACTAACAGAATGGTTGAATTACATGGGTGGTATTCTAGAACAAACTTGTGTTTTTCAACTTTCACCAATAGAAAATCTGTAGCAGTTCTTACCATACCAAAAGGAAAATTTTCTAAATGGCTTTGAAAAGCCATGACGAAATATTTTTGAAAGAGGGCGTTTCTTCAACAGACCCTAATCTGTTATAATTGAAGGAGGACATTTCTTCAACAAACAAACCCTGATTTGTTGTATTGGAAGAGGGACGTTTCTTCAACAAACAGACCCTGATTTGTTATATTGGAAGAAGGATGTTCTTCAACAGACACTAATCTGTTATATTGGAAGAGGGACATTTCTTCAACAAACAGACCCTGGTTTGTTATATTGGTTATATTGGAAGAAGGACGTTTCTTCAACAGACCCTGATCTGTTATATATTGGATGGTTTGGGGCTGTCCGTTCGTAGACAATTGGTTTCTCCCTTTTTAATTTTAAAGGATCTCAATACTTGTGTTTATACTTGGCATGTAAGTTTGTTGTATCAAAACACAGGTCAAGTTCGATTTTGCTGCAAATCAACTTATTATTGATAGAGTTATGCCTTTTTTAAACAAATTGTCTGTGAAAATATTCTGTGAAATGACGAGTATTGACTCTTGAAGGATTTCAATGAATGTGTTTATACTTGACATGTAAGTATGTAAGTTAGGTTTGATAGTTGTTGCAATCAATACATAATTAAAAGATTTATGGTCCCTTTAAAGTAAATTTTCAGCAAAATTATTCCGGAGTAATAGCTTTTGAAGCATTGCAAAGATTGTTTAATATTTGGAATTCGTGTATGTAACGTCAAAACAGTAACACATGTCAAGTTTGATTTTCTCTGCAATTGAATTATAATTGATAAAAATCTGGAAACAAAATGATTCCTCGGAAGCATTTATCACAACAAAATTACACGGAAGTTGCAGACTCGGTTTGATTGAGTCTGTACATGAGGGATAATGAATATTAATCCCTCACATCCCCTTGCACCGGTTTGAGCGGTACCCAATTCTCAACACTTAATAGTGCTGGCAACAATTATCCAGAAGGACCACACAGCACTTGACACCTCCCGCGGCAGCCATTTTGGAGGTCATAAATTAGTATATGTAATTAACATAAATTAAGTCAGAGAAGTTTGGTGAATTGTCAAATATTTAAACATGTGGTTTAGAAAAATGTTATCACACCACCCATATCAATGTGGTTTTTATCAGCTTACATGAATTTGATAAATAACGAATGATTGTTGTCTTATCTTAAGCATACAATAGTTTTAGAATTTGACCATTAGAATGGCGACCACAGATGTTGTTCATGATAAACTTACACTACATATCATAGCAAATTACTTATTGCTTGTTGTACATTTTTGACTTTGTAGCGTAGATAAGACCCGTTTTGTATTTACGCTAAATTATGTGCATGTCCATATGTTTGATGAAAAGGATCAATAAATAACGATAATTATTGTCCAAATACATTACATAAAACTGGCGCAAATAACCTAAGTATTCAAAACTTTTTTTCATCTTGTCAAGAACTAGAAAAAACTAAAATTTCCACGCAACTTACTGTTTCTTGGACCAAACTGAAAGCAAGTCGGCCATATATAACAATTATTCTCAACATGAAATAGTTTTGATATCCGGTATGTTGTCTGTAAAATGCAGAACGTGTTCTTACTTCACCTCGTAGTAACATGTTTTCTCGTCTTGGGATCACTATTATAATAGCCAATCTCTTGAAATATATTACTAGTTGGACAAAAGAGTATATCCTACAAGCAGAATGCAACCACGGACTTTGGTGCAACATAAGAGGCTAAGGTTTCTTACGTAAGGAAGTTGAGGTAAGTTTTCCTTGCATATGTAGTAAACAGGATTATTTGAATCCGCTTTCTATTCAAGTTTCTAAATGATTGTTTACGATGATATAAATATGTATAATGTATTCATTTTATCAATCTTTTTGTATATGTGTAGGAATGTAAACTTTAGTTGTAAAATAGTAAGAGCCAATAACAACATATAATATCTGATTAGTTATTTTTCAAACTCATTGAACTCATCTTAGCAGCCAAATCGTTGTCTTTCTTTTTTCCTTTTTTTTTCCTTTTTAGGAGATGGGGTGTTTGGCCTAGAAATATCTTCTTTCAATCGAATTGCCTTCTTCGGAATTTGTTCTACAAAAAGAACCTCTCTAGAAGACTTTGCATAATTTCTGTGAATGGCACCTTTGATAAAGTGATTTCTGACTTCTTCATCACACAGATTGATGCAGTTCTTTTCGTAGTTGGTTCCAGCAAGTACTTTAATATCTATTTCTACTATTTTCGAAGGTACTTTTTTAGCTTTTCTTTCGCGTGTATCCATTTCAAAGTAGGCCCAGTATCTGGCTACATCTAAACTTGAAGTAGTTGAGATGAACTTTGATTTATATTTTGATCCCGATGCAATATGCTGTGCAACAGTTCTGTTTGAATTTTTATTTTGACAAAATATTCCGTTTTCAATAGATTCGTCCTCTCTTAAAACTCGGTATAGCTGTAGGTCACCTAATCCATGAAAACCATAGAAGTCTTCATCGTTTGTTTCTTCTACATTTGGGACAGAACTTGATGTTGTTTCAGAATCAGGTGATGAATAACTTTCTTCAATTTGGACCGAACTTGATGCTGTTTCAGAATCAGGTGATAAATTACTTTCTTCAAGTTGGACCAAACTTGATGCTGTTTCAGAATCAGGTGATGAATTACTTTCCTCAATTTGGACCGAACTTGATGCTGTTTCAGAATCAGATGATAAATTACTTTCTTCAATTTGGACCGAACTTGATGCTGTTTCAGAATCAGGTGATAAATTACTTTCTTCAAGTTGGACCGAACTTGATGCTGTTTCAGAATCAGGTGATGAATTACTTTCTTCAATTTGGACCGAACTTGATGCAGTTTCAGAATCAGATGATAAATTACTTTCTTCAATTTGGACCGAACTTGATGTTGTTTCAGAATCCGATGATAAATTACTTTCTTCAATTTGGACCGAACTTGATGCTGTTTCAGAATCAGATGATGAATTTATTTCTTCAATTTGGACCGAAATTGATGCTGTTTCAGAATCAGGTGATGAATTACTTTCTTCACTTTGGACCGAACTTGATGCAGTTTCAGAATCAGATGATGAATTACTTTCTTCAATTTGGACAGAACTTGATGCTGTTTCAGAATCAGATGATGAATTACTTTCTTCAATTTGGACAGAACTTGATGCTGTTTCAGAATCAGATGATGAATTACTTTCTTCAATTTGGACCGAACTTGATGCAGTTTCAGAATCAGATGATGAATTACTTTCTTCAATTTGGACCGAACTTGATGCTGTTTCAGAATCAGATCATGAATTACTTTCTTCAATTTGGACCAAACATGATGCTGTTTCAGAATCAGATGATAAATTACTTTGATCAATTTCGTCCGAACTTGATGTTGTTTCAGAATCAGTAGACTGTATTCATCTGGACATCTGGAAATATCATCTATCCACTCTTGACTGCCACCATAATTTTGTTTGTATGCCATCTTGAAAATCGAGTTAGAAACAGAATTATTGATTACATGTGAATTTGTAACAGATACAAAAAATGCTTAGTTACATGGTTGTGGCATGGTCAAGTGGTTAATGCGTCTGACTACTTATCTTTGGATCTCTAGCCGCGTGGGTTCAAACTCTGTCAAGGACAAGGTGAAAATTTTTAAGACTATATTCCAGCAAAAACAAAACGTCACAATGAATTCAGATTTAAGTCAGGTTCTGACGTCGGATGACGGTCGGAAAAACGGTTGGATTTGAATTAAAATAGAACAGTTACGCAAGTCTTAAATTTTTCATTGCTTCAAATTAAAGATTGTTAAGAAATTGTTGATAATAAATATATTTTATCTACTACGTTTTGTTAAAAAGTTTATGTTCTGTTTTGATTGTTTTGATTACATTTTTCCTACTATGATTAAATGAAGCCTCATTCAAATTCATAGTTAGATAATCAATCAATTTCCTCTTTCATTTATATCTCGTTATTTATTGTTTTTCTGATTAAGGTGATAAATTCCATACTCTCCTCGTATGCAAGCGTTTTAAACAATCTAGGGAAAATAAAATAGATTCATATTTTTATTCCAGACCAAATATCATCAAATATAGTCAATTACTGAACTCAAATAATGAAGCCGCACTAAAAGGTCTTTGTAGGTTAATATCATACATATTAAAAGTAACAAATACTCAGTAGTTTGTAACTGATAGAAAAATAAAATAAAACAAAAACTTACCAGTGAAAGATATTCCGATTCAATAAATACAAATACATGTAGCTATGCAACACTGCCCTTGTTCACACGACAGGACTGAAATTTCTATATTTTGCACCCTGTCGAATAGTCTATTATTTTAAGTAATTTTTGGGATTTGTTGTGTTAGTTTAACATTACAACATCTATGGTCGCCATTCTAATGGTCACAGTCCAAATATATTGTATGATTAGATAACAATCATTCGTAATTTATCAACTTCATGTAAGCTGATAAAAACCATATTGATATGGATGGTGTGATAACATTTTTCTAAACCACATGTTTAATTATTTGACAATTCACCATACTTCTCTGACTTAATTTATGTTAGTTACACATACTAAATAATGACCTCCAAAATGGCTGCCGCATTTTCAAGGGAGCTTAACATTGTAGAAATCTAAGACTATCTACATGTAAATTAAAAAAAATATCCATGTGAGCAATGTATTTTTAAAGAGAAAAGATATGAAGAAAATAATTTCAATTTGAGTTAATTTATGTACGAAAGTAGAAAGTTTTATTAGGATAATGCACTGGTTTCTTCGCAGAGAAAGTGATGCTCTTGTCAATTTGATGATAAACTCACCTGTTTGCAGTAGAATAAATATGTTGCTTATATTTAATTCTAATAGAAAAATAGTTTCATATCCAACTTCTTTTTTCGTTTCTTGCAATTCAGGAAAAAGGAAGATCCATCAAGAGCAATGGAAACAAAAACAAAGCCTGAAAGAAATGAAAGTATATAATACATGTACATGAGACTGTCCTTAACTGAAGGATGATAATTATGTTCTATTTTTGACAATGCAAGCAATTGAATATGAACAATTTCATACGATTAACAAGATAGGCGATGATAAATAACAGAATACACATGGTCACATGACTGACAAAATAAAAAACATTCTTCCAGGGAAATTTCAGCCAACAGAAGGTACTTCAATGTGTGTTGAAAGAAATTTCTTTTTGCATTTAAAAGTATATTAAGAACTTCCTATTCCTTGCAATATATCGGTGACATTTTTTTCCTAATATACCACTGCCTATCGGAGAGTTGAAGAAAACATCCTCCTCCTAATAGATCAAGGTCTGAGGAACATATTTCTGTCTGGTATTCCATTGTCTGTAGAAGGATCCATCCCTCCAATATCATAGACCAAGGTCTGTTGGAGAAACCTACCCCTCCTTCCAAAACAATAGCTCCGCTACTTAAGGCGGGCAACTTACGCCCGGTGGCAAAATTAAAAGAAAGTATCATCAGCAAAATTTTGCCTTTAAGATAGCAAATTTTTTGTAGTAAATAGCACAAATGGTGGTTTGTCCGTCAAATGTGAAAGAAAATCTTTTTTGAGGTAATTGCATGTTAAAAATAGATTGTTTGATTAAAAAAGGGCAAAACTGTGTCTATAATAAATCGATTGTAGCGAAAATCAAACTTGACCTGTGTTTTGACGTTACATACATGCATGCCAAATATAATCAAAGCACTGAAAGTACTGAAGTATACATTGCTTGATAATATTATCCATTTTTGTCATCAAGGCCATGTTGATTTTAACCTACTGACCTCAAAAAAATAGGGGTCATCTTCTGACCAAGGTCAATGTCCCTAACAAGTGACACCAAGACTTTTTTCTTCCGAAGTTATTTATGAGACCAGGAAGATGTGATGTTCCATCTGTGTATTGCTAGGCAAGCTGATAGATGAGCAATAAAGAAATCATTTTTTGAAACACCCGTTAAATGGACTGCAGTATAGAATATTGAAACAGTAATATTGAGTCTTCAGTGATGCTATCTGATAAAATACATGATCTGGCTTGAACTCTATACAAAGTCAATTAATTTTATCATCCTACAAGACTTTATTACCAAATTATAGTACATCCTTTTGTATAGCTTTCCATGTTACAGATCTATGTACTGTACTTTGATGCATATATTCTGGTGTGTTGTATTCATCTCTACACATTAATTTTCAAATGCATTACTTTATCGTTTTTTAATAAAAATGAAATCTATAATCAAAATAATTCAAATGTACTGTAATGTAGTGGTTGGGTTAATGTTTAACCAACGCTCAATGAGGTTTATATGTGTTTATTCAATAAAGAATAAAACCTGTAATAAAATAAAACAACAATAAGACATCACATTACAAAACAAATATTTTACAAGACAAATATATTTCACAAAATACATAATACACAATATAATACAACAATTCAAATTACATTAAAAACAATATCATAAATAAATAAATACATATATACATACCAGGCTTGTCATAGAAGAAATATAATTGAATAAATAAATTGAATATAAGCAAGTATTTCTATTAGAAATAACTGACAGTAAACTAATAATGTAGGTGTTTTCACTTCGAAAGCGAGACAAGGAGTGGTCAGTTACTAAGAAAATGTTACATTCCAGAACCAAATCAGCTAAAATAACTTTCATACAAAATCAATCATCCATCACTCAACTTGCAAAACCAGTTCAATCACCCATAACAAAAGGAACAAAGACAAACATGAACACATAACACCACAATAGATTTGGTTTGGCCTTTAAGCGAAATTACTACCGTAAACATTCTAAAAAGATAACTTTGCTAAATTTGACCTTATCTACACCCCCCCCCCCCTCTAGTTAAAAATGACACCGGCATTTTCCTAAGAAACAATTATTAATGAAACCTGGATTTATAAAAAAAATAGCAATATAATCAATTCGAAAAACAAAAAAATAATTCACTGTATATTCATATGCCGACATAAATATATAATAATTATTTAAGATATACTGCCCTCCTATAACTATTTTGCAATAGTTAAACAGTAAAATATAAAGAAATAATGCAATACAGTAAGGTTGTCAATTCTGCTTGAAAATAATAAATACATAGTATATACCTCCACACATATGGTCCATATGAAATTTAAAAGGACTGCATAAAAAATGAAATAACATAATTAATAAGACTTCATGGGCTATGAAATTATGACATGCTACATAATAATGCAACAAGATAAGTAGATATAATATATATAATCAAGTACACTCAAGTATTGTTTCTTACTTATACAATGCATATGATAAAAGATATATATTAATATAAATTCACATCGATTGAAAAAAAAAACAAAAAACAAAAAAATACAAATAAAAGAAAACAACGTTGTTCGTATAGAGGCCTGTATGTATGTTTCTTATTGAGGTTGTCTGATTATATTATAAAAATCTTTTATGTTGTTATGATTTCCTTATCGGTATTCTGATATAAAATATAAGGTTTCTCATCATCAAGGGATAATATTTGAATAAAATTTTGCCACAATTTATTAAAAGAAATCACATCTCCATTTAAAAAAGCTATATATTCTTGATTTTTTAATTTTCTTTTTAAGTATATTAAAAACATATTTATATTCAAGTAATTTTGACAATTTTCTCTAAATTTTGTTTTATAAACATAGTATTTTGCTAATAATGTTACAAAATTCAAAATAGAATGTTTTCCATAATACGAGAACAGTATGCCTTTCATGTCTGAAATATCAAATTCGACAAAACACTTATCTCTAAGCCAGTCTTTCAATTCTAAAAGAAACGTATTTGGTATACGGGCATTGATAGAATGAATGTTCAATCGTTTCTCTATCAATGTTACAATATGAACATAAATCATTATCTCTAATATCTATTCGATGTAAAAATGTATTTGTCACAAGAATTTTTTGATTAATCTTATACTGAAAATCTTTCAATTTTATCTCTTTCACAGTATTTAAACTTGTACAATAATCTAAAAACTCCTTCTGTGATATAGGTCCTACAGAATTTACCCATTTGTTAGGAACACTTAGATTGTCAGCGTCAATAAGGATATCATAAAATAATCTGCAACCTTTACTATTATGTATAACACATTTAAGATAGGGATTTAACGAAATGTTTTGCTTGTATAAAAATACTTCATTTCTACTGTTCCTAATCTTTTCTCTCCATAAAAAAGGGATGGACTCAATGACTTGTTGAATATCTAAAAACGTACCTCTTATCTTATATATATCTTTCAATTTTTGAATACTGCAAATATTGCCGTCATTGTCGTATAAATCAATAATAGATATTATATTATGATGTATCCAATTGTTAAAATGTAAATTAGTGTTACGGAATCTAGTGTTAAACCATAATGGTGAATATAATATATCTTCGATACTTTCAATGCTCACTTTTTTGCAAAAGTTAGTCCATGTTTTCAACACTTGTTTCCAGAAAATATTTGAAAGTTCTTCAGATATAACTGATGCATAACCAGGACCAATAAAATATGATAAACAAGATCAACAAGGAAAGGCGGCTTTCAATGAACGCAACCCCCACATGACCCAGCAACAAGAACCAATGGCAAGGAGCCCAGGGGGACCCCAAACAAAAACAGGACAGGGCAAAGACAGAGCACGGACAGGTTAATCATTAAATGATAATTAATTTGTAACTGATTAGGAATTTAAAGAAAATAAAAAATAGGCCCACAAAGGGGAAGGGGACAGGAGACCGGGGGGAGGGGTGGGGAGTAATCAAAGAAATAAAAAACTAGAGGCAATGGGGAAGATACTTACCGTAGATGAGAAAACAACAAGGGACACAAGCAAAAGTGTCACCAAAACAGTATGAAACAACATAAGACATACATCTGAGGAACACAGTGGGCGCCCGCCTTGGAACGGTCAGCAGCATAATAATGACTGCTGGGAGTTAAAACCGGTTAATGGTGCACCAAACCTCGCTCTTAGCCCCACCATGTTCCTATAAACGAGACAGTGTAAATAAAATGAATCCCCGCCAAGTGAAATTCTAACAGTTGTCATGGTTACAAAAGGTTAAATAAGTAAAACACTAAAATGATCATGTAGAAACATATAAAAGTAAACCCAATGACCATAACAAAAGTACTCAATGTCCTAAAGGAAGACAGAGCAACAAGAAAATCACCTACAAGGGCCCGACGAAGCAAGGCAGAAGACGAACATTAAGACAATTCAGTCCCAAAGGGCTTTACGAACTATCCATCATAGAGTCTCCCACTTGGTCCGTCAGATGCAATCAAAAGAGGAAAGCGTAGTGTCCAACTGTAAAAGGGTTGAACACTAAACATGCAGTATGTCTTAAAATAGTAGGGTCATAACCTCTTTTAATAAAACGTTTAATGATTTTAGTAAAAACAGCAGAAAAATTACCATGACCCAAAATCTTACGAAGTTTGTAAATCACATCGCCATAAAAACCAGGCTGGCTAATCCCTTGTCGCAGAAGAGTTTTTAAATCACTATTGAATTTGGAAATTAAATCAAAGTTACGATTGTAAAATTTAGTAAAATATTTCCGTAATTTATGATAGCGGTAGCCCTGTTTTAGAAGCTTGCTGGTAATAAAAATGTTCCGCTCGTTGAAATCCTTTACGTTGCTACAAGCTCTAGCGAATCTAATTAACTGGGAAATGATGTACTAAAATTTGAAGAGTTCGTTTTATTAAGTTGTAGTTCATGCGGATATATGTCAGACACCATTTGATCAAAATAATGATTATCTAAATTAAAAATATCATCAAGGTATCTAGAAGTATTATTAAATGCGACTATAACATCTTGTTGTTTATCTTCAGAGAGACTCAACATAAAGTCTCTTTCATAGCAGTACAAAAACAAATCGGCGACCAGGGGTGCACAATTAGTACCCATAGGAATTCCTATGATCTGTTTAAATAGGGTATTACCAAACCTGACATAAATGTTGTCTAAAAGAAAAGAGAGTGCTCTACAAACTTCGTCACAGGTCCACATAGTATAATGTTTTACAATACCGTTAGTAAAAAAAGCTTTGTTAGAATTACATGCTAGAAAGGTAACTTTTTCCCGTGCAAAAGTTTTCTGAATTAGGGAAATTAGTTTATCATTGATTAATTTATGTGGCAAAGTTGTATAAAGTGTAGAAAAATCGTATGTACTGACAGTTGAAGCTTGAAAGTTCTTAATTTTGAATTTATCCAAGATTTCACCAGAATTTTTAATTGACCAAAAGAGATGTTTGCCTGTGTTTTCATAGACTTTATCACAATATCTAATTACATGTGTTTTAATGGCAGTCAAACAAGACGTCAATAAAATGGAAAGTTTACTTGTAGTGCAAGATGTAGAATTAGCAATGAATCTAGCTTTGTAAGGTTTTTTATGTAATTTAGGAATCCAATACATAATAGGAAGTTTAAGTTCTTTTTCATTAATTTGTACTTTAAGATTTGAAATATTAGTAATATGATTGTTTACAATGTCTTTTTCGGAGGCAGAGGTTTTAGAATACGCATTAGTACTATTAAGTTCCTTATGCAAAACGTTAATGTAATGGATTCGTCATACAATTATAATATTATTAGCCGCCTTGTCCGCTGGCACCAAAACAAATTTAGAATGAAAAGCTAGAATATCTTTCTTCAGATGTCTTAAAGTAAGTCTTGTTTTAGGTGGCAAAATATGTTCATTTCCCCGATAAAAATTAATACGTGAATCAATAATTTTAAAGATGTTACGTTTCCATGTAACTAGAGCATTACTATCCGCATTTTCACGGCGACACCGACCGAAAAATCCTCTATAGATTCAGCAATCTGACCACGACAAGCATTAAAATCAATTTCAGAAGGAATTCTGTATTTAGGTCCTTTCAAGAATAAGTTACGAATTCTTTTGTCTGCAATTATATCGAAATTACCAGTGATTATATGGCCAAAATCTGAATTACAGAATTTAGAAGTATTGCAGTCTCAAGTTGTTGGAGTATTAGACTGAATATCTAAGTCAGAAACTACTTTGTTGTAATTAAATATGATATTTCTAACAGGTTTCTTATATTTATAGCAAATAATTGGTATCTCGGTGTTTTTGAAGTATAAAGGAACTGAATTAGTGACACGTTTATCACGAAAAATACTTGGTAAATCGATGAAATCGATACCTTTATTAAGAAAGGTTACTTTTAGGAAATGCCTGTTGTGGTCAGAAGTGTTGTCGATATGAGGTCTTAAGAAGTGCTGAGTATAACTTTGAATAAGATAAGCTGCTGTATATAAAGGATCTGTTTGAATAACTATATTGTCTTCTTCCGCGTCTAAGATTTTCAGAGATGATAATGAAAGGGAAGTAAGACGTGATAACATTGCATGTTTACCAGAGTTCTTTAAGATAATATTTAAGTCGGTGACAGACAGGGTAATTTTAGATTTACGTTTGATGTTGCCATTTCTACGTACTCCGTGAGATCGGGATTTACGTTTACGAATATTAAGAATAGAAAATATATCAATGTTTGGATCTTTAGAGATGTTACCTTGTTGAAAAATATTGTCATTTAGGCCAAGTGGGAAAGGCGTTTGTAAGTTCTTGATCCATTTTAATTCTGCTAAGTGTCTAACTTTAACTTTAAAACTAGCAGAAGCATCAGAATCATAAATTATTTGTTCCACTGGTTGAATTGAAACATTTTTAAATGAATGACCATCTTTACGAAAATGTTGATATAGAAAAGTTGTAAATTTTGTGCGATTTAAGTTTTACTACTTTGGTTATATTTAAACGAGACAGGGTAACCCAAGATTCGCCATTTTCGTTCAATAGACGTTTAATCCAACCTAACTTTAAACTGTTCATAAAGGCTCTAACATTTACCATTTTAATACCACCTGCTTCTATATTTTTATCTATAACTGATCTTTTAATTTTATCTGGACCTTTTTTCCATAAAAACCGATATTATAATCTTTCTATTTGTTTAATGAAATCTTCTGAGGGATTTGGCAATGACATAAACAAATGTACAAATTTTGAAATAATCAAAGATTTTATAATTGTGACTCTTCCAAAAAGAGTTAAATTACGCTTAGACCATACATTTATTAATTTTTCACATTTATTAAGAATTTCATGCCCGTTTAAAAAAATGAAATAACATTATAAAATAATTATACCCACTCTCCATACCTATCCGGTGGATGTATCACACGTCTAGGGCGTGGGATAGGGCGTGAAGATGAAACGGGCGTATGTACTGGACTGACTGGAATAGTCACTGGAGTACTTGGTCTACTCACTGGAGAAACTGGTACACTTACTGGAGTAACTGGAACACTTACTGGAGTAACTGGAACACTTACTGGAGTAACTGGGATAGTTACTGGAGTAACTGGAACACTTACTGGAGTAAATGGAACACTCACTGGAGTAACTGGTACACTCACATGAGTAACTGGGATACTGTCTGGGGAATATGTCACAGGATTGGGGTGAGTCCTGGGAACAATTGAAGAAGGGATAGAAATAGAAGGAGCATCAGAAGAATGTCAATAATCAACGCGAGTATTGCGACTGTGAGTAACTGGAAATCTCCTCTGTGGTATGATGTATACACCAGATGATGACTCAGAAGAGCTAGAATCAGCATCATACTCTTTCTGTATAGAAACACGTCTAGGTTTTGGTTAGGCTTAGTTTCAACGGGTGAATCTGCATCTTCTTCAGGAATAGAAATAAATGGAAGAAGCATATTTCTCTCGAACTCTAGGGTCATATTGCTTCTTGTTTTGATCAGCCCCTTCTTGGAAACATCACCAGCTAACCGATAAGCATATTGAAGGCGTTCCTTCAAACGAGAAACATAAGTAGGAGGAGAAAGATGTTCAGAGTTAGAAGGAAAAGTACCAAGAAAGGCATCCACAGAAAGACGGGGATGCCATCCAAACATAAGAAAGTGAGAAGAAAAACCTGTAGAAGAGTTCTTGGTGGCGTTATAAGCCTGAACAAGAGAAGGAACAAAATCTGCCCACTTAGATTTATGATCTTCAGCAACAGTACCTAACATTCTGAGAAGGGTCCAATTAAACCTTTCGGCTGATGGATTTCCCATAGGGTGGAAAGGAGTGGTTCTTGTCTTTCGAAACATTTGCAATCTTGCAAAGTTCCTTGATGACTCGACTTTCAAAATTCCGTCCCTTCTT